TATTACATCATCTCAAATGAGATGGGGTTGGGGGGTCCATCATCGATGGATGGTCACATCACGTGACCCAGTATTACACAGATGAATCTCACTTTGTAGAACTTAATCCATAAGAAAATATATTTTGTAATTCTTCTTTACTTTGGTTATATGAGGCGGAGTCATCATTATCAGGAAGATCTTGATTAATATCATATTTATTTTCTTGGGCAATGCTCATGTTCAGAAATAAGCTCACATAAATCACACAACTATAGCACACAACACAAATATCAGAAAGTAAGAAATGAATGTAAGTGAGAGGCATAAAAATTTGGTGAGTGGTTTTTATTGATTAGATTATAATATTTTTAATGTATTTATTTTTACCTTTATGTAAGAACTATCTAACCTTTTGTATACACGACTATGATAATATGATAACCCCCTAGTGGCTTTTTCGTGGCTGCTCTTATGAAACATGTAATAACCATGATATATTACTTACCTCATGCTTTCTGGGGCTTATTGCTATATATGACATAATCATAGACAGTTCTTTTCAAATTTTTCCGGTTAGATAAATGTATTCCTTCAAAGTATTTTCTAAGTATTGTTGTGTTCGCAGGGCGGGATTCTCACATTTTCGTTTATCGATTCTAGGTAAGAGGTAATTCTTCAGAAGTCTTGTGTTTTTATTTGGTCGTTAATTCCTCTGCCGTCCTTCTTTCTGATATTTTTCTGATCCATATTTGATTCTCTATTCAATACTTAAGTTTATGATATATCTTATTTAGAGTCATTATATATGATCAAGCTTAGTGCATCACGAGCTGTTGGACTGGTCTTTATTCATTCTCATCTTTGATTATTTCACGCTCCAATGATTAGTTTATAGGTTCTTTTAAGATTTAAGAGTGAGTTATCGAATGCTATTAAGACAGAATTTCGGATAGAATGATTACAATACAAGATAAGTTCTTCAGCCATTCTTGATTCGTTCAGAATAAGGATTCTGTCTTTTCTTTATCCGGCATCCAATACATCGTTATTTTCTGATCTGATTATGGTTTTGACTGATTCCTGATTCATTGATTTGTCTGTTTATTACTATATCCTTTTATGATTAATGCTCATTACTATCCTGCAGAATTTTCCGTTTTTGAGGGGAGGCTTTGGATTATCCCTTAGTAGAACAATATTTCCCAAATGGAGGCTTGTCTTACTATTCGATGTAATTAGTTATAGGTATGGTTTAGATTTCACGTCACATCTACAAAGGTATTTTTTGGTCATAAAGATTAATCGAACTTTTCTTTTATGTTTCAGGATATTGATAGGTTTGTGGCATAAGGATCATAGATTTTCTCCTCTTTCTGTAGAATTCACTTACCTTTACTATATTGGTTGACTTGATATTTTCCTTCTTAATTTCTTCCTTCTTTTTTATCAGATCTACTATTTCCTTCTTAGGCATAGATATCTTTTTTAAGGACGAAAAACTCAAAATAAATTCTTTTTTCTCAATAGCCCATATAAGATAGAAACTAAAAAAAAATATACTTTGGGTAGGCAGTTTTCTCATATCTGCCCATGAAATGAAAACTCAGAGATAGATCTTTATATTTTTACGGAAGAGGGTTTGTTAGCATCAGTCTGATAGGTAACCAATTCTTTTATTAATGTCATATAGGTTTATCAAGGCATCTTTACACAGGTCGGGTAAGCATTAACTCTCTTTCGGGTTTCACGAAATGAGCTTGAATTTTCCATTCTATGGTTATTTTATCGAGGTGTAAGAGTCTAATCACTTTTCAATTCAGATGAGTGGTGGATTACACTATTATGGTTAAAACATCGACCCTATCTGGGATCATACTATTGGTTAGTTTTATCTAATGAGGAGAGAGGAATAAGAAGTTAAGGAAGGAGGAGGAGGAGTGGAAAGAAATGTTTCATTCTAATTAGATCTTATCGCATTTTGTAGTTTTCTTTAGGGACGGAGCTATCTAAGGTGCACAACAAAAAAAATCGGAGGGATACAGTCATTACTAAAATGTGATGGGCAAACTGCGGGCCTATCAATAAGAAATAAATACAGGCGGGAGGTATAAAAATCTGGCAAGTGGTTTTTATAATATGTAACTATGATGATCCCTTAGTGGCTTTTTTGTGATTATTCTCATGACACGTGACAACCATGATGTGCACTTACCTTATGCTTTCTGGGGCTTATTTGTTATGCATGAGAAAAATAAAAAAAAATTAATAACAAAAATCATATGACC